ACAAAAGAAGTTTAATCCCTTGATGACAAATCAGAATATTTAACATGAACGGCATGAAATAGATTTTATGAGAACTACTTTCTTACTCTTGAGGAGAACGGAATGTGTACAATAGAAAAGCAATGTTTAGACTGCCCGTTGTTTAGACTGCCCCGCTGTTTCTTCCGTTTATACATACGCTTCAAAAGCTGTTTATAGCCACAAACACACCAGACTTATGTAATACATTTAAACTTTCACCTGGATTGTTTACATGGAGATAGAATCACTCCAAATTTACACAACCTAATCAAACATACATTTGCTATCAAAAGAGAAACATTTCTGTCTGAATAGCACTGTACAGTAACAGTTATGTATCTGTTATAGCAAGGTGGATACTAATAAAAGGATTGAAAACATTGGATACAATTGTGTTCTTGAATTTAAATGAAAAAGACAAATTTACACATTATATGTCCAGACCTGCTAATGTATTATAAACAGGTATGTAGACAGTAATATTAATAGTACGACACCTACATTGTATAGGAGCACTGTGATACTGTGTAGTGACGACTTTAAAAGTTAATAGTATACATCTAGTGACGCCTGTAAAAATCAATAGTATACCTCTAGTTACGCCTGTAAAAGTTAATAGTATATCTCTAGTGACGCCTGTAAAAGCTAATAGTATACCTCTAGTGACGCCTGTAAAAGTTACTAGTATACCTCTAGTTACGCCTGTAAAAGTTAATAGTATATCTCTAGTGACGACTGTAAAAGTTAATAGTATACCTCTAGTGATGCCTGTAAAAGTTAAAAGTATAACTCTAATTGACGCCTGTAAAAGTTAATAGTATACATCTAGTGACGCCTGTAAAAATCAATAGTATACCTCTAGTTACGCCGGTAAAAGTTAATAGTATATCTCTAGTGACTCCTGTAAAAGCTAATAGTATACCTCTAGTGAGTATACCTCTAGTTACGCCTATAAAAGTTAATAGTATATCTCTAGTGACGACTGTAAAAGTTAATAGTATACCTCTAGTGATGCCTGTAAAAGTTAAAAGTATACCTCTAATTGACGCCTGTAAAAGTTAATAGTATACATCTAGTGACGCCTGTAAAAGTTAATAGTATACCTCTAGTGACACCTGTAAAAGTTAATAGTATACCTCTAGTGACACCTGTAAAAGTTAATAGTATACCTCGAGTGACGCCTGTAAAAGTTAATAGTATACCTCTAGTTACGCCTGTAAAAGTTACTAGTATACCTCTAGTGACACCTGTAAAAGTTAATAGTATACCTCTAGTGACGCCTGTAAAAGTTACTAGTATACCTCTAGTGATGCCTGTAAAAGTTACGAGTATACCTCTAGTGACACCTGTAAAAGTTACTAGTATACCTCTAGTGACGCCTGTAAGAATTACTGACACTGATAGTGAGCCCAATAAGACTTACTATTATTATACTATTTTCAATCAATTCGGTAAGATATCAGATTTGATGAGTGCACAAGATCCAATGGCAACAGACCATATGAGATCATTCAAATTGATGCTCTACATTAAAGTACTAAATTTTGATATTTCAAATTAAAGTTTACATATTTCTTAAATATAATTTAATATTTTGGAATACATTGCACAGTTCGTAAACCTAGTTTGTGCGACATGTTACTGATAGCACAGTAAATCCCATTTCGTAAGGCTTACTGTATTTAGATACATTCTCACAATTTACATGAACAAAGTTTTGGTGACTTCCATGTTTTTTATCTGTATGGAGAAGGACCTATACATCACTGGAATGTTTTCAGTGATACACAAAACGCCAGTGTTATTTCACATTCCTGAATTTCACAGAATTCTGCCATAAAATGTCATAAAGAAACACGCTGTTCACTGCAAGGGAAGTAAAACTCAGAATGAATGCACAGAATTAACATCACTTCCATGTCAAACAAGATGTTATCAGATCTGGACATTTTGTATAATTTATAAAAACTAACACATCATACAACACGAGATAAATGTCAATATGATAGATGTTGAGATCATGGCATCCTCTACGTTTTATGGGAATTAAAGGTTGACACCATCTAAGATGATACATGAACAACTATACAACAAATATTGATTAAAGGAAGAAAACAGGCCTCAATGATACAAGACAGCGGGAATGGTCAACTGACAGGAGCTTTCTGTCGTCCTTACCTAATGACCTCACCTCAAGGATTTAACAAGCACTTATTACACAATAGTGAGCAGGCGACAGAGGAGGACCATGGTGATGACAAGGACCCTGACCTTGTAACATCACATAACTCTAGCTATTTCCACCAGTCTACCCAGTCGCACAAATGGACATCAGCATCTGTCAGTGTCACGCCCACTCAAGAAATTCAAATGAAAACAAGTTTTATATTTCTCTACTCTTAAAATAGTTTCCATTGTGTGATAAAAAAAAAAGCCATTATAATAATCATGAAAAAGAACTTATAGAAAAACAGTAAGTGTTTTTTTAAGTTCAAGATATGTATATCACACACATTTTCAGTGGTGTATGAATCTGAAATATCAGAACTTCATTAATTTTTCAGTTATCTACTTTCACTTATACAGTTTTTCCAGTCACTTAGGTAATGACAGTCGAAAAAACTAACTATTTTTTTCATTAGCTAATTTAAGGTCTTCACACTTTGTGATCTGCACTGAAGAAGACGTTTGAAGGTTTATCAACTTATACCTAGAAACTAATAGGATTTAGGTAAGGTCTCCTGAATAATGGATATTAGTCAATATGACTTGTGTAAAAATAGGATAAAGTCATCAGGAACAGTGACCTCTATATGTCCTTATAGCTAGGAACGAGTGCATATGCTGGTTAGTGTGTGTGTCAATGAGGTCATGCACACCCATCATATGCTGGTTAGTGTGTGTGTCAATGTAGTCATGCACACCATCATAGCTGGTTTGTGTGTGTCAATGTAGTCATGCACACCATCATAGCTGGTTAGTGTGTGTCAATGTAGTCATGCACACCATCCTATGCTGGTAAGTGTGTGTCAATGTAGTCATGCACACCATCATATGCAGGTTAGTGTGTGTCAATGTAGTCATGCACACCATCATAGCTGGTTAGTGTGTGTCAATGTAGTCATGCACACCATCATATGCTGGTTAGTGTGTGTGTCAATGTAGTCATGCACACCATAAGTCTGGGAGCTAAGAAACCACTCCACGTACGTAGGAGGGTAGAAGAGAGATGATAATAAACTTGATCGATGGCAGTAAGGATGTCGACAGGAAGACGTAAAGAGGTGGGAGGGTGGAAAAGAGAGCATAAAACAATGGAAAGTAGGAGAGGAATAAACATGTAGGACGAAGACTAATAACTCCTGTTACCTCCAAAAATGCAGATTTAGAAAGGGGCATAACTCTCATATAAGAAGAAACCAACACTTAAGAACTTCAACCATCAAAGTCATGCAACATGCTGTTCCCATAGGGGAGCATTAGTATGTGAAATTGTGTAACCCTAGTAGCATGTCCTTAGCTACAGCAGTTCATGACTGACCTCTTAACGCAAAAGTTCAACCAAGGTCACAGAAGCCAAGGTCAAAGGACAAGGTTAGAAAAATGTTGTGCAGCTTGTTCTACTAATATTGGCACAAGGTCACATAGGTCAAAGGTCAATGTCACTAAATTGGGTGGTCAGGTGGTGCAGTGGATAGTGCACTTGACTTTCACCAAGGCGGCCGGGGTTTGATTCCCTGATCGGATGTGAAAAGGTTGGGGTCACCTGCCCGACCACGTGGGTTTTCTCCGGGCACTCCGGTTTCCTCCCACAATAAGCCCCCCCACGCTAACAACCGGGCCAACAAGAGTGATTAATATAAGTTGAAATAACTTGTGTCATAATTGTTGTAAAATAAAATAAAGTTTATATAAAAAAAAAAAGTTTTTTTAATGTCACTAAATTAAAAAAAAAAATGTGACCCTAACTGCAGTAATCAGTCATAACTAACCTTAATGCAAACAGTTAACTGGGTGGATATAGGTAGAGATAAGTGTAACACTACACAACTATTTACTGATCATGTGAGTCAGTGTTTATAAATATTGGTAAAAAATGTATGAAGCAGCACTTATATATTTTGTTTACTTGTATTTTTTATTTCAAATACTCAAATATGCATACTTGTAAGATGTGTTTTATATCTAATATATCTATAGAAAAGGACTTGCATAATAATGGTGCCATTTGGTCTCCCTATCTTAAGGTTGTATGGAGTGTAAGACACCTACTAGTACACTCAAAACTCATCCCAATTTCCACATCAATTTCCAAATATTTCTAGATATATATGTATGACCTTCATTTTCATGTCCAAATTTCAACTACATACTTCCTCAGCCACATGTACTTATCACCCAGTCCCAATATTGTTCCTACTTAATAGCTACACCAAGTCTCACAATGGTTCTTTCTATTTCTCAACTATAGTTTCACAAAAGTTTATTCTCATCTTCAACTGACAAAAAAATCCTTGACCCTTCCTACCTAAAATCAACAGGTAGTTACCTTTATTTGTCCCCTTTACCTATAATTGACCACAAACAAATGCCTTTATCTACTGTTTATCAATCCGTTGACACGTACTCCCTGTAATATATTAGACAACTCCAATCCTGATTTCTGAGTCACTACCATTTACCAATTAGAATCCTTATTTAAATGTTCACATTTAACATTTAATTTCTAAAGTAAGGAATACTGGTAAAATGTAACTATCCATTAAACCAAATAACTGCTAATTACTTTTTCCCTATAAAATGAATTCAATGACTATTAACCCAAATATACTATATAATGGGCAAGATTTTAGCCCTTACATTCCAGACCAAAACCTATACGTATATCCCTATTATATTACATACTTCTTCAGTGTAAGCATTCATTTTCGACATAAAAACACATTACATTCAACACAATACATTAGATAAAGACTTACCATAAACAAGCAAACGGCTCCTATGTTTAAATCACACGAGGGCGATATTCCAAGTCAAATCGTAAACGCATTAGATATGTAATATATCAGCGACTCCCGTGATGGGTTATAGGCGTCTGCACTGTATCTTACCAATAGACTCTATAGTAAGAGTTGACACTACAAACTTTCCAGTCGATTGATTCTAGAAATCAATACTAAAATTACAAACATGTATATCCAACCTGTTATGGACAAAAAGTCACAAGGGTTACGTCTCCCAACAAGACCAGTTTAAAAATCTATCCAATTGTCCAAACGGCCGAATTTATATATACACACTGCAACGCTGCCCCTATACACATGTACTCAGAGGTATTAGTGTGTGGAACGGCTAAGACGCGGGTAAATCCACCCAAGAGGTTCCCATAGGGAGCACACACAGGGAATTATCCGTGACCACCTTAATCGGCCGTGAAGTCCTCATTGTCCGCAGTAAATGTCTCGTCTGGACAGTTAATTAATTACGTAGACTTGTACGAGGATATTCACCGGTTCTGGACCCTTTAATAGCCATCATAAGGATCTACAATGTAACAGCCATTACAAGGATGTACTGTCATACTAGCTAGAAAGCAATTCCATTTATATATAAGTTAATGCATAACTTCATCTTTCAATTTCTGTTTTTTTTATATAAAGGTTTATATTCAGTACAAAAGTGTAATGACAGTGTATATTAAAATAACAAAACACAGACAGGTATATACTTGTTATGCTTCTGGTTTCAGGTGCTATGAATTAAGTGATTTTCTTGTCAACATTTTTCTGTATTTTATTTGTCATATGATCCTACCTGTACTTGCTGCAACGGCAGCAACTGTAACTCCATTCAAATTATCATTTAAATGGTTCTAGAGAGTAACACTGCATACTACATTACACTGCTGAAATACTTGTAAGAAAATATCACTTCACCCGAGATAGAACGATTAAATTAAATAGAAGTTAGGGTGTGGAATGATAACGTTACAAAAATGTTAACGAAATTTTCACCCCAAAAGAGGAATGTTTAAATTTTAAAAAATCCACACCTCTCCTGGAAACTTGAGCACCTAAGTCAATATTAATTGTATAGAGATCTCCTTCATTCCTTTAACAGGATTTTAAAATATCACTACCCTTTTTCTTGCACTTCAAATGTAGAGCAGACAAATCTGAAGTTAATTCAGACTTCTATAGTGATCGTTATAAAGGATATAACAACCATTTTCCTACCCCATCAATGCCTACAGGGACAAAGCTACTGTCTGTCTACCCTATAGATGTCTGCAGGGACAAAGCTACTGTCTGTCTACCCTATAGATGTCTACAGGGACATCAGTACTGTCTGTCTACCCTATAGATGTCTACAGGGACATAGCTACTGTCTGTCTACCCTATATATGTCTACAGGGACTTAGCTACTGTCTGTCTACCCTATAGATGTCTACAGATACATCAGTACTGTCTGTCTACCCTATAAATTATACAGGGACATCAGTACTGTCTGTCTACCCTTTAGATGTCTACAGGGACATCAGTACTGTCCGTCTACCCTATAAAGTCTACAGGGACATCAGTACTGTCTGTCTACCCTATAGATGTTTACAGATACATCAGTACTGTCTGTCTACCCTATAGATGTCTACAGGGACATCAGTACTGTCTGTCTACCCTATAAAGTCTACAGGGACATCAGTACTGTCTGTCTACTCTATAAAGTCTACAGGGACATCAGTACTGTCTGGCTACCCTATAGATGTCTACAGGGACATCAGTACTGACTGTCTACCCTATATATGTCTACAGGGACATCAGTCCTGTCTGTCTACCCTATAAAGTCTACAGGGACATCAGTACTGTCTGTCTACTCTATAAAGTCTACAGGGACATCAGTACTGTCTGTTTACCCTATAGATGTCTACAGGGACATCAGTACTGTCTGTCTACCCTATAAATTATACAGGGACATCAGTACTGTCTGTCTACCCTATAGATGTCTACAAGGACATCAGTACTGTCTGTCTACCCTATAGATGTCTACAGGGACTTAGCTACTGTCTGTCTACCCTATAGATGTCTACAGGGACATCAGTACTGTCTGTCTACCCTATAGATGTCTACAGGGACATCAGTACTGTCTGTCTACCCTTTAGATGTCTACAGGGACATCAGTACTGTCTGTCTACCCTATGGATGTCTACAGGGACATCAGTATTGTCTGTCTACCCTATAGATGTCTACAGGGACATCAGTACTGTCTGTCTACCATAAAGATGTCTACAGGGACATAAGTACTGTCTGCCTACCCTATAGATGTCTACAGGGACATCAGTACTGACTGTCTACCCTATATATGTCTACAGGGACATCAGTACTGTCTGTCTACCCTATAGATGTCTACATGGAAATCAGTACTGTCTGTCTACCCTATAGATGTCTACAGGGACATCAGTACTGTATGTCTACCCTATAAAGTCTACAGTGACATCAGTATGTCTGTCTTCCCTATAAAGTCTACAGGGACATCAGTACTGTCTGTCTTCCCTATAGATGTCTACAGGGACATCAGTACTGTCTGTCTACCCTATAGATGTCTACAGGGACATCAGTACTGTCTGTCTACCCTATAGATGTCTACAGGGACATAAGTACTGTCTGTCTACCCTATAAAGTCTACAGGGACATAAGTACTGTCTGTCTACCCTATAAAGTCTACAGGGACATAAGTACTGTCTACACTCTATGTGATAGGCTGTAAGGCTTACAGAACAAATAAATTGAATTGCCTTCCATATCAAACTATTGTTTCCTAGAAATCTATTTAATCTGATGAAATATTCTAATATAAAATTATGTTTCTAACACACTTTCAATTTTCAAGTGACCATACTCCTACGAGACCTACCACCAATAATACAATGACAAATTCTTTTCCCCCTTCCTACAGTTAATATCTCAATCTAAAAAACAACTTCCTGGTGCACCGCTGTCATCGGCAAAAACAAACTGACTGTGAAAATCCACCTACACCTTGCTTTAATCCTTTGTGTTGAGGTGTGAATCCAATAAACATCCGTTTAGATAAGTTACAAGTTAACAGTGGTGCTACTGTTTTATTTGAAGTCAGACGGTGTAATTATTGTTCTCTGCTAGATCTGATAGGAACTGTAGCCACTCCACAAAACAGACAGAAAACAAAAACAAGTCGTATTTGTAATAGGAACCACTAAATATAAATATCTACAGAATGAGTTAAGTCTAGTCAAAAATGCAGGATAATATGTCATAAAGGTTGGGTCAAGTTGTTTTTGGTGTAAAAGAGAAAAACTTTGAGTACCGATACCTGTAAATGTTCGAACAGGAGAATTAATATTTATTTTACTCATTTGTCATTTACAGTAGTGCTCGTACACAATTTATAGGTATTGTGTCATTTACAGTAGTGCTCGTACACAATTTATAGGTATTGTGTCATTTACAGTAGTGCTCGTACACAATTTATAGGTATCGTGTCATTTACAGTAGTGATCGTACACAATCTATAGGTATCGTGTCATTTACAGTAGTGCTCGTACACAATTTATAGGTATCATGTCATTTACAGTAGTGTGTGAACACAATTTATAGGTATCATGTCATTTACAGTAGTATGTGAACACAATCTATAGGTATCTTGTCGTTTACAGTAGTACGTGAACACAATCTATAGGTATCGTGTCATTTACAATAGTGTGTGAACACAATTTATAGGTATCTTGTCATTTACAGTAGTGCGTGAACACAATTTATAGGTATCATGTCATTTACAGTAGTATGTGAACACAATCTATAGGTATCTTGTCGTTTACAGTAGTACGTGAACACAATCTATAGGTATCGTGTCATTTACAGTAGTGCTCGTACACAATTTATAGGTATCGTGTCATTTACAGTAGTGTGTGAACACAATTTATGGGTATTGTGTCATTTACAGTAGTGCTCGTACACAATTTATAGGTATCATGTCATTTACAGTAGTGCTCGTACACAATTTATAGGTATCATGTCATTTACAGTAGTGCTCGTACACAATTTATAGGTATCGTGTCATTTACAGTAGTGAGTGAACACAATTTATAGGTATCATGTCATTTACAGTAGTGTGTGAACACAATCTATAGGTATCGTGTCATTTACAATAGTGTGTGAACACAATTTATAGGTATCTTGTCATTTACAGTAGTGCGTGAACACAATTTATAGGTATCATGTCATTTACAGTAGTGCTCGTACACAATTTATAGGTATTGTGTCATTTACAGTAGCGCTCATACACAATTTATAGGTATTGTGTCATTTACAGTAGTGCGTGAACACAATTTATAGGTATCGTGTCATTTACAGTAGTGTGTGAACACAATTTATAGGTATTGTGTCATTTACAGTAGTGCGTGAACACAATTTATAGGTATCGTGTCATTTACAGTAGTGTTCGTACACAATTTATAGGTATCTTGTCATTTACAGTAGTGCGTGAACACAATTTATAGGTATTGTGTCATTTACAGTAGTGCGTGAACACAATTTATAGGTATCGTGTCATTTACAGTAGTGTTCGTACACAATTTATAGGTATCTTGTCATTTACAGTAGTGCGTGAACACAATTTATAGGTATTGTGTCATTTACAGTAGTGCGTGAACACAATTTATAGGTATCGTGTCATTTACAGTAGTGTTCGTACACAATTTATAGGTATCTTGTCATTTACAGTAGTGTGTGTACACAATTTATAGGTATCATGTCATTTACAGTAGTATGTGAACACAATCTATAGGTATCTTGTCGTTTACAGTAGTACGTGAACACAATCTATAGGTATCGTGTCATTTACAATAGTGTGTGAACACAATTTATAGGTATCTTGTCATTTACAGTAGTACGTGAACACAATCTATAGGTATCTTGTCATTTACAGTAGTGCGTGAACACAATTTATAGGTATCGTGTCATTTACAGTAGTGTTCGTATACAATTTATAGGTATCTTGTCATTTACAGTAGTACGTGGACACAATCTATAGGTATCTTGTCATTTACAGTAGTGCGCGAACACAATTTATAGGTATCGTGTCATTTACAGTAGTGTTGGGACACAATTTATAGGTATCTTGTCATTTACAGTAGTGTGTGTACACAATTTATAGGTATTGTGTCATTTACAGTAGTGCTCGTAGACAATTTATAGGTATTGTGTCATTTACAGTAGTGCTCGTAGACAATTTATAGGTATTGTGTCATTTACAGTAGTGCGCGAACACAATTTATAGGTATCGTGTCATTTACATTAGTGCGTGAACACAATTTATAGGTATTGTGTCATTTACAGTAGTGCCTGAACACAATTTATAGGTATCTTGTCATTTACAGTAGTGTGTGAACACAGTTTATAGGTATCATGTCATTTACAGTAGTGTGTGAACACAATTTATAGGTATCTTATCATTTACAGTAGTGCGCTCGTACACAATT